TTTTGTATACAGTCTAGTCTATATGAAGCCTTGAGAAGGACGACGTTTCATAGCAAGACATAACAATACGATTTTGCTAGAAACTTCCAATGTTTTTGGAAAGAACTTATTAAATAGACGCAATGTCCTCCAAAGAAAGACTTTAAGGCCAATATATTTTTCGGCTTTTTCATACCGTATCAAAATAGAGTGTAAACTTATTAAACATGGTCGGAAGGTTTTCTTCGTTAGAAACGATAAAATTAATTTTTCAGTTTGAAATTCAACCATAGCAAATGTACAGAAGAAAGAGACTACATTTCTAAGTAAAAATTGAAATTAGTATTACAATTTTAGTTTTGTTTCGATTAATAAATGTACCAGAGTGTTGACCTTGAATTCATTTATTTAATTACAATTGCTGAAAAACTAATCAATGATTTTAAAAATTAGATCTTCGAATTTTTACATATACAACAAAATTTTCAGACAATTATCTAAATCAAGGCGTACATCGTTCTAGTTTCATGCGTGTCTAATTGCTTGAATACAATAGACACATTTTTTTGTTATAGTTGTAGCATAGGGTAAAGAAAAAGAAAATGAATTATATATCTACTAAGTTTGTTTTTACTTATACTATGAGATAACTTTAATACATTCAATCAAAACTATCGGAAATTAAGACTTGAAAGAATTCTTACCTTTTAAATGACATTCCGGTGTAATTGAACATTGATTATTTTGAAGGATGTTTTTCATTGTCTTTACAAAGTCAACACTATGAAATGGACTATTAATCGATATATCTATTCAAAATAATCCTTGATAATGTTTTTTTTTGTTTTATAAAAAAAGATTTTTACTTTTCTTATAAAACTCTTCATAGTTTGATAAAATATAATTCGAACCTTGTTGTAATAAAACATTATTATCTCCTTCGAATGTACATGATGGATCATTATCATCTCGTATAATACCAAAACCACTAGCTAAAATAAATTTAATTAAAGTCTCAACTTCTTTTTTTTTGTTTTCATTTACCGTATAAATACCCATGGCCACCACAAGCTTCTCGACATTCTTGACTTGCTCTCTGTGTATTCCATGTACAAATTGCTTTACATGTACATGATAAAGCATGAATTTCTCTACCCATATCAGCAAGTAAGTCTCGATCATTCTCATCCGGTGACAATGATAATGCATAAAATTCTGCTAAATTATCAAAAACAGTTAATGCCAAATGTCGATAAATATAAAGTGATGCAACTATTGGAGTCAAACGCCAATTCTATCAAAAAAAATAATACTGATTAAACAACAGCCTGTAAATTTGATATTTATATTAGTGAAAAATGACGAAAAACAACCTTTTATGACAAAGAGTAATTTACACAATCTTTCAATATAATGTTAATTATATCTTCTAGATTTTATAATTATACGTTAATAAAAGTTTGCTGTTACTCTTAAAAATTTATTAAAGTCCTGTTGAATTTCTGATATAGTTTCATTTTTTGAAATAAATTCGAATTTAATCTGTATTTTAACTAGATTATTTCTGCATATCAATCGATTTAATCAAGCGAATCATTGTAGTAATGATTTTATTTTAATTATTATCTAATACAAGCAAATTTATCGTATTTTGAAGTGTGCAGTTTCGTGACAATTATATATAGTCATGCAATGTATTTTACATCAAAAGGTATGACATTAATAAAAAAGATATTTGTACAACGTATGCATAAATGATGATAAAGAATAGATGTTTTACCGCATACTGTTGCTTCTTATTTATCAATTATTATAAATATAATATTTTTACGACGAATAGTATGCTTGAATAAAGCAAAGGTATGAAGATTATTTAAAAAATAGTGTCGAATCGATATTTTCTAAATTTAATGAAAAACTTACTTGTGTTTGATATTCAATAATTGGTATTTCTATACCGGGTGATGGTCCAAATTGTTTTCTAACACATGAATATCGAACAGCAATTGTTATACATTTAATTAATAAACCAATTGCTAAACTACTAATACCAACACGACCTGATGAAAGTGCACCAAGACTTGCACCAAATCGTTTATTTGATGACTAAAATATTGAATGAAATTATATTTGAGATAAAAATTTATGTACTTTAAATGGAGTTTTATAAGTTCCATCAGGTAGAACATCACCATGTTTATTAAGTAAATTTTCTCTTGGTATACGATAATTTCGTAAGATTAAAAATCTATAAAAGAAGAATATAATGTTTATTACTTTAATTATTTAGTTTATATTCTTACCCATTATCTAAACCATTCCATCCACATTTTGCACCAATATCTCCTGCTTCAATACCATCAAATGTTTTATATGTCAATGGATCACTTGAAATAAATAAAATAAATATATTTTTAGTGTAGAAAAAAATCATACCGAATAGGAACAATAAATAAATGAAGACCATAACATATATCACTGGTATAAAGTTGAGCATAGACAATAGCATGTGTTGCATGATAGCCTAAATTTCTAAAAGTATCTCCAGTTAGTTCTTACCATATGAATATTAATAGAAAACACGCTAGAGCTTAAGGCGCTGTATAGAAGTCTTGACGAACTTAATTTCAATATTTCTATCTTAACTGTAAGCAATGAGTATAAGCAAAAAAAATAACTCTACTTACCCAACCCAAAATTTCATTGCTTCAATATCTGGTGTATTTAATATAAATTCCTATAGAAAAAACAAAATAAAATATTTTAATTTTTTGTTTCTATTTATTACCTGAGTATTTCGATCATAAATAGCTGTTGTTTGCATTTCTTTCGTATTACTTCCATGTGATAATTCAGTTAAAGCAAAACATCCAAATATCTAAATTAATAATACAATTTTTAATGAATTAAAATAATATTTTATATTACCTGCTCATTTTTATCTAGATCAAGTAAATAATTATGTCTTTGTGTGCCTAATTTACGTATTGTTTCACGAAATACTGTTGTATGAAGTGTATATTTCGCATGACATGATGAATCATACATAGCTAAACATTGTTCAAGTATCATTTTCCAACGTGGATTTTCATATAATTCTTCATCGGTTAATAAATTTAATTTTGTTAATTCTTTATAACGATAATAAGTTAAATGTTTATATTCATCAATTGATTTCGGATATTGTGATTGATGAAATATAGATTTGGAATTTAATATTGACCAAAGTTTAGTCTAAAGAAAAAATATATAATATATCAAATATAATAATAATAAATATACTCGATAAGCTTGTGATGGTTCATCTTCAAATATATTTCTCATACGTTCAACAGAGAACGTTGAACGATTACGGTACTCATTCAGCATAGCTCAAATAAAGTAGAGCAGAGTAGAATAACAATAGTTGATGGATGAATCATTGATGATCTTATTTGGATTTTTAATCACTAATCAAATAAAATTATGATAAAATTCTCAATTGTAAATATATATTATTGTAAATATTTATTTAAAAATAAATGTGAAAATTTTCTTATATTAAATTTATTACAGATGTCTCTCATATTCAAACTTATAACAACAAAAGAGAAAATACATCTGTTCGTATTCTCTCTTAGACTTAGACAATTCAATTTTTCTATAGCGAAATAAAACTATCTTAATGCTTCAATTTATCAAAGTATTACGATTACAAATGAAAAAAAATATTATAATACAAAGCGTTCATTCGTTCTTATTTATTACATTACCACTGGAAGGATATATTCTATTTTTGTTTTTGACAGATCTACTCTTAGGCAAAGCTGAGATAAACTTATGTTCACTATTTCAAAGTCATGGAATAATATCATCATAATTATATATTGTTCAATAGTTTTTAATTAATATGATGACTAACACAATTCATCCCTGGACTAAAATCTATTTTTTGAAAAGAAAAAAACAATATCAATTTCTAATTAAAGTATCAAATAATATTAATATACTTTTTTCGGATCAGTAACTTCATTTATTGGTACTTATGAAATAATTTTATTTTAAAACCAGCTGTTGCCCTCTGACACAGAATTTTACACGATAAATAATGACATCTATCACGATAGTCGAACATTTGTCCAATATTATTCTCTACAAAATGCATAGTATAATAGTATTTATATTTATACATGATTTCACCTTTGTTGATTTCGGTTAAGTAGTTCATTAAGTACACTGTAAAAAATATTAATTTTAGATTTATTTTGAAATAAAATTCATTATGCAAACAATAATCAAATTAGCTCCTCGAACGTAAAAAAATTCTTTTCAAAAATTTGAATTTGAATCTATTTCATCATTCTATTTTTATATTTAGTTTAGTTCCAATTGTATCACGTTGTTCAAAACATACATTACCTGATTTACCATATAATTACAATGCATTAGAGCCAGTTATATCTGGTGAAATTATGAAACTTCATCATCAAAAACATCATGCTACATATGTTAATAATCTTAATGTAGCTGAAGAGAAATATAATGATGCTAAAGCTAATAGTAATTATATAAAATATATATTTATTTAATTAAAAAAAACTATATGATTTAATTCAGATGATCTTAATACAATGATTCATCTTCAACCAGCTATTCGTTTTAATGGTGGTGGTCATTTAAATCATTCAATATTTTGGCAAGTACTTTGTCCAAAAGAAGGTGGTAATAAACCAAGTGGTGCTTTAGCTGATCAAATACAAAAGGATTTTGGTTCATTTGATAAAATGGTTACACAATTATCAAATGCAAGTGTTGGTGTACAAGGTAGTGGATGGGGTTGGTTAGGTTATAATAAACAAGATCAACGTTTACAAGTAGCTACTTGTTCAAATCAAGATCCATTACAAGCAACAACAGGTAAGAAATTTGTCAGGAATTATTTTTTTTGCTAGAAAAATTTCCATGGTTTATTTAAGGTCTTGTACCTATATTTGGTATTGATGTTTGGGAGCATGCATATTATCTTCAATATAAAAATGTTCGTGCTGATTATGTTAAAGCAATTTTTGATATTGCTAACTGGAAAAAAGCTGATGAACTTTTTCAAAAAGCCAAATAGTGACTTTTAATATACATCGTTTTTCTTTTCTATTTTAATTTTTTTTTCATTAGTTATGTCTTAGAAAAACAATCACACACTAAACAACTTAGAATAAAACAAACGTAACATCAACGGTTTTAAATAAAATTTAAAAAAAAAATAGATAGAAACTATCTGTTTTATGTGTGTAACTATTTAGAGATAAGAATTAGAAAGAAGATTT